AAAACAATGAAGGTGGATCAAATGCAAGCATATAATATCCGAAGTCAATGTAGGAAGAATCCAATGGAAAATGATAAAGGGGCTGAATTACATGGCAGGTGCCACGAAAGAGAACCATTTACTACAAGAACAATTTGCAGTATAGAACAAAATTTCCACATTATCAGAGCCCAGGTTCTACCATGGGAAGCCCGTTGTTAGCCCACCTGACAGGACTCGAAGTTGATACCGAGCCTACATTTAAGGGGGCATGTTAACCCACGTGACAAGACCCGACATTCATAGTGGGTCTGCACGTGAGGGGACGTGTTAAGTGGGAAAATCCCACATCGAGTATAAAAATAAGAAGCTTGTGGGTCTACTATCAATACCCTCAGTATACCCACTATAGAACCCCTGAGGAGCGGGTTAATTTATCCAGCCAACCAAAAACATGAAAACCCAATATCAAAAGAAAAATTATTTCCAACTTAATAAACCACACTCTTCTATAAAAAACAGTCCACACTCAAAATGCTTGATCAACATTCATCTCATTTCATTATAAAATATTCTTATTCTTAAGACATAGTAACCGAATAAAATTATATAAAATACGCTGAAAAGGTAAAATAAATTTCAATAAAACAACCGTTTAAAAATAATACTAGAGGATATAACAACTTATCTCGAATAATTAATCAATATTTTCACTCGACGCTGCCTCTTGAATTATTTAAAACTTTCGTACTATCTTCTTTGTTAGAATTGAAAAGATTTACAAATCATAGGCCATATTGCTAGAATCGAATCCCTAAAATTTCCTCAATTTGACTAATCCGGCAATCTATCGGACGGAAGCCCCTTTCTTAGCTTCTATAGTGGGTATACTGAGGGTATTGATAGTAGTCCTGGGATCTATTTATTATGGAGTGTGATGTGGAGTGTGATGTTATATTTGGAGTGTGATGCTATATTTGGAGTGTGATGCAGCCTAAAGAACTTGAAATTGTTGTTTCTTTTCATCTAGTTTGGAATGTGGTTTCCTTATTGAACAGTCGTTTACTTTATTTAATTATTATTTCATTAAAATACAATGCTTGATTGAACTAGATGGGTACACTCTTACTGGGCTGTCTAACTTATGCTTTTAAATCTCATCTCATTTCAGGTACAGACAAGTAAGCATTTGGGGTTGCATTTGGGAGTGAGAGGCACAACGATTCTAGAATAGTT